CAAAAAAAAAAAGGAGGCAAACTGGTAACTACTTCAAGGTGCTGCTCCTCAGGAGACAGAACTCAACCTGTGCCCCAGCATCAATGGGATGTGACAGAAAAGACATAAAGCTCTGGAGTTTAAGATCAAGACTCGGTCTTAAACAAAAAACCACTTCCAAGGTGCCCATCACCCATATGTGATTTCTGGGGCAGGGGACACTGTACAAGAATTCTTTTGTTTCAGGGATAATCATTCCTGAGAGACAAGGTCACAGAATAAAATTAGCTTTTTTTTTTTTTTTTTTAAGAGACTGAGTCTTGCTTTGTCACCCAGGCTGGAGTGCAGTGGTGTGATCTCGGCTCACTGCAGCCTCCACCTCCAGGGTTCAAGCGATTCTCTTGCCTCAGCCTCTCGAGTAAGTGGGAATACAGGCGTGTGCCACCATGCCAAACTAATTTTTTGTATTTTTAGTAGGGATAGGGTTTCACTGTGTTAGGCAGGATGGTCTCGATCTCCTGACCTCATGATCTGCCTGCCTTGGGCTCCCAAAGTGCTGGGATTACAGGCGTGAGCCACCGTGCCTGGCTAAAATTAGTATGTTTTAATTTGAAATTGCCCTCATTGGAGTCTGGGGAATTAGTGGCCACACAGGGGGCTCTGTATTCACTTCCTGTGGCTGCTGTGACACATTACCATATACTAGATGGCTTAAAACATCAGAAATGTATTGCTCTGAAGGCCAGAAATCCAAAATCCAGGGGTTGGCAAGGCTAAGCTCCTTCCAGAGGCTCCAGGGGAGGAACTTCCTTGCCTCTTCGAGCTTCTGGTGGCTCCAGGAGTTCCGTGGCTTTTGGCTGCATCTCTCTAGCCTCTGCATCCGTGATCACATCCACGTCGCCTCCTCTACTCTGTATGGTTTCACCTCTGTGTTAGCTTCCTAGACCTCCTTTTTCTAAACTTTTTATTTTTATTTTTTGAGACGGAGTCTCCCTCTGTCACCCAGGCTGGAGTGAAGTGGCGCAGTCTCAGCTCACTGCAACCTCCACCTCCTGGGTTCAAGCGATTCTCCTGCCTCAGCCTCCCTAGTAGCTGGGATTACAGGCACGTGCCACCACACCCAGCTAATTTTTGTATTTTTGCTGGTGATGGAATTTCACTATGTTGGCCATGATGGTCTCAATCTCTTGATCTTGTGATCCGCCCACCTTGGCCTCCCAAAGTGCTGGGATTACAGGTGTGAGCCACCGTACCCGGCCTTCTAAACTTTTTTGAGACAGGGTCTCGCTCTGTCACCCAGACTGGAGTGTAGTGGTGTGATCATGGCTCACTGCAGCCTGGACATCCCGTGCTCAGATGCTCCTCCCACCTCAGCCTCCCGAGTGGTTGGGACTACGGGTGTGCACCACTATGCCGAGCTAATTTTTTGTGTTATTTTTGTAGAGATGTGTAGGGGTCAAACCCCGCAAGTGCCGTGGCAAGGGTCTGAAGCCTCAGCCTGTTCTCATATAAATACTGATTTAACAAAGAATTAGAAATGTAGGCACATATATATTCCTTTATATAATCATATATAATCTTATAGTTACTTATAATCATAAAGATATATACTCAATATAACCTTTAATTGTACTAATGACTGTCAGGTTATGAAGCATGGAACTGAGGTGACATTGTGAACAAAGTGACCCTAAGGCAAGATGCTCTAAGCCCTCTGTCACGCCCCCATAAGGGCTGCTGGAGGGCGCCTCGGCTGTGTGGCAGTGCCAGCGCCAGCGCTGGGAAAGCGCCCGCTATTTAGCCAGCTAGGGAAGGAGACGTCCAAAATGGCCAAGACATCTCCTTCCTGGGGAAGTTAGGAGAAAACACCGCTTCTCCAAGCTCTTGTGGCAAGGCCTGACGGCCGTCAGGGACACCCACAGACATCTAGGGACTTAACTGTGTCTATGTGACGCTGTGCTTCAGTGGTCACGTTCCATGTCTGCTCTCACACTCCGCTTCTGCACCTGGTTTCTCTTTTTCTTAAAAGCTAAGACTTAATAATGGTAACATAATCCTAGTGTCCTTGACATTTCTGACAAATATGCGAAGAGTGCTGACAATTAGGTTTTCTCCCCCCCTCAGCCACTTGAAAGTCCTGGGCCCCCTATCTTCAAGACCCGTGATTTACCTGACCCTATCACCGACCACCATGACCTCACCCTACCTTCCCTGCCCCCTGCTTTGTACTCAGTAAAAGTCAGAGTGTCCAGGCACTCGGGGCCGCTGCAGGTCTCCATGCTTTGGCTGGCAGTGGACCTCCGAGCCCAAAGTCTCTTTTCTCTATGTCTGTGTCTGTGTCTTTTATTTCTACAGTTTCTTGTCTCTGCACCCACAGGGAGGGGCTCACAGAACCCTATAGGGCTGGACCCTATAGAGATGGGGTTTTGCTATGTTGCCCAGGCTGGTCGTGAGCTCCTGGGCTCAAGTGATCCACCCCGCTGAGTGTGGAGATTGGGACCAGGCACAGTGGCTTCTGCCTGTAATGCCAGCACTTTGGGAGGCTGAGGCAGGAGGATCACTTGAGCCCAGGAGTTTGAGACCAGCCTGGACACATGGCAAAACCTCATCTCTACAAAAAATACAAAAAATTAGTTGGGCGTGGTGATAATGTGCCTGTAGACCCAGCTACTTGGGAGGCTGAGATGGAAGGATTGCTTGAGCCCAGGGTGTTGAGGCTGCAGTGAGCAGAAATTGTGTCTGCACTTCAGCCTGGGTAAAAAAACCTGTCTAAAAAGAAAAAAAAAAAAATGTGTGGAGATTGGAATCTAATAAACCTGAATGATTCAAAGCTTGGCTCTCCCACTACCTAGCTGTGTGACTTTCTTTGGACTCAGTTTTTTGTTTTTTTTAAGATGGAGTCTCACTCTGTCATCAGGCTGGAGTGCAATGCTGTGATCTCGGTTCACTGCAACCTCCACCTCCTGCTTCAAGCAGTTCTCCTGCCTCAGCCTCCCAAGTAGCTATTACAGGCACCCGCCACCATGCCAGGCTAATTTTTTGTATTTTAGTAGAGACGGGGTTTTACCATGTTGGCCAGGCTGGTCTTGATCTCCTGACCATATGATCTGCCCGCCTTGGCCTCCCAACATGCTGGGTTTACAGGCATGAGACACCGTGACTGGCCTGGACTCAGTTTTTTTACCTGAAAAATGGGAATAACACTTGCCTAAGGAAGGGTTCTAAGGACTGAATGAGAAAATGTGCAGGGCCAAGGATAAAACAGGCGCTCAGTAAAAATGTATTGTTATTAGTATCACATTCCCGGCTTACAGGAATAAAGGTGGAAGCTGTCCTGACAAAAGAAAACAGACTGGTTGGCAAGCACTGATACAGAAGGACATTACGTGAAAACACATTTTACAGTAATAGATCTAGTGTAATTCCCAGCATTCATTCAGTTAATAAATATTTGTAGCTCCTACCCAAAGTATTCTAGATGACGAGACGTCAGCAATGAACAAAGCACACTCACATCCCAGCCCTCATGGGGATAATATTCTAACAAGGTGAAGCAATACATAAGTACATAAAGCCGGGCGCGGTGGCTCACGCCTGTAATCCTAGCACTTTGGGAGGCCAAGGCGGGCGGATCATCTCAGGTTAGGAGTTGGAGACCAGCCTGGCCAACATGGAGAAACCCCGTCTCTACTAAAAATACCAAAAAATTTAGCCAGGTGTGGTGGTGCGTGCCTGTAATCCCAGGTACTCGGGAGGCTGAGGCAGGAGAATCGCTTGAACTCGGATTTGGTGAGCTGAGATTGTGCCATTGCACTCCAGCCTTGGCAACAAGAGCAAAAGTCCATCTCCAAAACAAAACTAAACAAAAAACGTACACAAAAATAGGCCCGGTGCAGTGCCTCTCGCCTGTAATCCCAGCACTTTGAGACCCAGAGGCAGGGCATCACTTGAGGCCAGGAGTTCAAGACCAGTCTGGGCAACATAGAACACCTGTGTACAAAAAAATTTTAAAACTACTCAGGCATGGTGGCATACACCTGCAGCCCCAGACACTCAGAAGGCCAAGGTTGGGAGGATTGCTTGAGCCCAAGAGTTCAAGGTTACAGTGAGCCATGATCATGCCGCTGCACTCCAGCCTGGATAACAGAGTAAGACCCTGTCTCAAAGAAAAAAAAAACAAAACAAAAAAACAAAGTGGTAAATGCTGGGATGAAAATAATTCAGGATGATGGGCAAAAAAAATCTCTGTGAGGTAAATTCTAAAATTAACACACTAATGTAAGCGTTTTTTCTCTGGAAAAGTACAGAGATATTTAACTGGTTACTTTTTGGGGAGAGGCTGGAAGATGGGCTTTGGAAAGAGGAACCCTTTTTTGAAAAAAATTGCCGGGCGCGGTGGCTCAAGCCTGTAATCCCAGCACTTTGGGAGGCCAAGGCAGGTGGATCACGAGGTCAAAAGATCGCGACCATCCCGGTCAACATGGTGAAACCCCGTCTCTACTAAAAATACAAAAACATTAGCTGGGCATGGTGGCACGTGCCTGTAATCCCAGCTACTCAGGAGGCTGAGGCAGGAGAATTGCCTGAACCCAGGAGGCGGAGGTTGCGGTGAGCCGAGATCACGCCATTGCACTCCAGCCTGGGTAACATGAGTGAAACTCCGTCTCAAAAAAAAAAAAAAAGAAAAGAAAGAAAAAAAAATTTACACTTTTCTGTAACTTTTCCTTTTTCTGTTTTTTTTTTTTTTTTTTGAGACAGGGTCACTGTCACCTAAGTTGGAGTTCAGTGGCACCATCTCAGCTCACTGCAGCCTCTTCCCGGTTCAAGCGATTCTCCTGCCTCAGCCTGCGTGGTAGCTGATATTACATGCGCCAGCCACAGAGCCGGCTAATTTTTGTATTCTTGGTAGAGATGGAGTAGAGATTGGGGGAGGCGGGTTTCACCATGTTGGACAGGCTGGTCTCGAACTCCTGACCTCAAGTGATCGCCCGCCTTGGCCTCCCAAAGCGCTGGGATTACAGGTGTGAGTCACCGCCCTCTGCCGGGGGTTGTCAGTTTTTATGAAAATGTGGGACATTTGGGGTTTTCATTTCCAAGATTATCCTCCTTGCGCCGCTCCCCATCCCCCACCAAATAAAACTAACAAACACTAAACAAAACTAACAAAACCAAAGCCCTTTTATGACTACCATACCCAAACGTCTCATCTGCGAGGTCACCACGTGGAAGGCACTGTTCTGACCTCTCAGACTTGCGATTCTTTAACCAGCATTCCTGAAACCTAGGTGCCCTTAGGATTTTTCGTTTTTTGGTTTCTACAAACCAGCTTTTCAGGGAAGCTGGCTTTGGGGATGAGGCCTAGGGGAGGCACCAGGGGGCAGAAAAAAGCAGCTGCCCGCCCTTGCCCCCGCCCTCGCCCCCCGCCCTCGCCCCTCGCCCTCGCCCCTCGCCCTCGCCCCTCGCCCTCGCCCTCCGTGGTGCCCCACCCCCACCATCTCCCTGCATCCTCCGCCTCCGCCTCCGCTCCACCCGCTCAGCTTAGACCAGCGCGGCAGAGCGCGTCCCGTGGTTGCCATGGAGACCGCCGAACTGCGGAGGCCACAAGCTGTGCGCGCGGGGGCGGGGCCGCGGGAGGCCCGGGGGCAGAGAGAGCTCTGCGGCTGGGACCAAGCCAGCGAGGAACAGGAGAAAAATCCAGCGAAGCGCAACCACCTAGTTCTGCAGGAGAAAAACAACCTGAAGAAGCCGATAATTGTGAACAGGCCTCACTGAGACCTTCACTTCCCTTAAGCCCGCGCAGCTTGGCTTTCCCTCTCTTTTTCCTCGGTTCCCTAAACATTTGCCTGGCTCCTTTATGAGTTAAATAAGATCACATATATTTGTTTGTTTATTCATTTGAGACGGAGACTTGCTCTGTCGCTCAGGCTGGAGTGTAGTGGCGCGATCTTGGCACACTGCAACTTCCGCCTACTGGGTTCAAGCAATTCTCGTGCCTCAGCCTCCCCAGTAGCTGGGATGACAGGCATGTGCCACCACGCCCGGCTAATTTTTGTATTTGTTTTTGTTTTTGAGACGGAGGTTCGCTCTTGTTGCGCAAGCTGGAGTGCGATGAGGCGATCTCGGCTCACTGCAGCCTCTGCTTCCCCGGGTTCAAGCGATTCTCCTGCCTCAGCCTCGAGAGTAGCTGAGACTACACACGGGCACAACCACGCCTGGCTGATTTTTTTTTTTTTTTTTTTTGAGACAGAGTCTCGCTCTGTTGCTCAGGCTGGAGTGCAGTGGCTGATCTCGGCTCACCGCAGCCTCCACCTCCCGGGTTCAAGTGATTCTCCTGTCTCAGCCTGCCGAGTAGCTGGGATTACAGGCACCGGCCACCATGCCCGGCTAATTTTTTTGTATTTTTAGTAGAGACAGAGTTTCACCGTGTTAGCCAGGATGGTGTATCTCCTGACCCCGTGATCTGCTCACCTCAGCCTCCCAAAGTGTTGGGATTACAGGCGTCAGCCACCGCCCCCGGCCGGGCCCGGCTAATTTCTGTATATATACATTTTTTGGACAGAGGAGGGTTTCACCACGTTGGCCGGGCTTCTCTCGAACTCCTGGCCTCAAGTGTTTGTTCCACCCGCCTCGGCCTCCCAAAGTGCTAAAATTACAGGTGTGAGCCACCGCGCTGGGCCATGAACATTTAGGTTATTCATCCACTCAAAAATATGCATTGAGCGCCGACCTCGTGCCAAGCGCCACAGTGGGGACTGTTGCAATAAGAACCTGGTACCCATTTCTCTACCCACGCGTGTGGGTGTACGGGTACCGATTGTGGCGTGAATTTAGAATGCTCATCTATAGTGCCAGTGGCTCTCAAAAGGTCGAATCCACTAGCACAGCCACCTACGGGGCTTGGCTGGGACTTGTCCATTTCGGAGGGCAGGTCTGGGAACCGCTGCCTTTCAGGAAAGGTGCTGACTTGGGCCACAGCCGCTTCGCTGGGAAGCAACGGCCCCAGTTAGGCCCGGGGCGCGGCCACACCCCTGTGGGGGAGGGGAGGGAGGCCGGCCCGAAGGGAGTGGACAGCCCCCCTGTCAGTCTTCCCGAGTCCGGGAGTGTAAGATGAGACGGGGGAAGGTGGACCTCATTCTAGGGGAGGGCGAGGAGGAACTTCCTGCCCGTGCGCTCCATGGTGCAGAGCCCGAAGCGCGCGGCCTGGCGGGCTGCGGCGTGTCAAGGTCCGCCTGGAGCTGGGTGGCGGCCTGCCTGGGGGCGGGGTACCCAACTGGGGGGCCGGGCTGAGGCCTCCCAGCCCCTCGGCCATATTGAATAGCCTGGGCTGGACCGTTTTTGTCTGCGAAGTCCTCTCCCAAGTTCCAGCCGCGTCCCCGGTGCCTGGGGCAGGAAGAATCACTGGCAGCTCGCGCGCCCCAGCTTGGAGTGGAACACCACGTTTCCAGCTTGGAGTGGGCCTTGCGCCTCGGGACTGACCTCGGCCCCGCTGACGTAAGCATCCTGGAAATTGATTCCTCCAAGTCCGTGGCGGGGGAGCAGGACTTGGTCAACACTGGACTTGTTGCCGGCGAAGAGATAGGAGGCGTGGGCTCGTCCCTGGCTTGGAGAGGTGACTCTCCGATCAGCGTTGCTGGCACTCCCCCGGCCTCCAGTCCCTCCCTCAAGACTACGGGCGACGGTAGCTTGTTGGGGCTCATTGCCCCCTCACCCCAGATATCACCCTGGAGATCTTAAAGACTCTCGAGAAAAGCCACGTGGGGGGCTGGTTCCCCTGGGGCTTCCTCCCGTCCCCCGACTGCCTAATTCTTTGGAGTGTCCCGGATGTCTGCAAAGATGTGGATTTGGACGTCCTCGTGGAAGCCCTGAAGCCCGTGGGGACCTTTAAGAAGATCGGGAAGGTGTTCCGCAAGGAGGAGGACTCCACGGTGGGGATGCTGCAGATCGGGGAGGACGTCGATTACTTGCTCATCCCCCGAGAGGTCAGGCTGGCCGGGGGCGTCTGGAGAGTCATCTCCAAGCCCGCCACCAAGGAAGCAGAATTTCGGGAGCGGCTGATCCAGTTCCTGGAAGAAGAGGGCCGCACCCTGGAGGACGTGGCCCGCATCATCGAGAAGAGCACCCCGCACCCGCCCCAGCCCCCCAGAAAGCCCAAGGAGCCCCGAGTGAGGAGGAGAGTGCAGCAGATGGTGACTTCTCCGCCCCGGCTGGTCGTGGGCACCTACGACAGCAGCAACGCCAGCGACAGTGAGTTGAGCGAGTTCGAGACCTCCAGAGACCGGAACCGCCAGGGCCCGCGGCGGGGCAAGGCGGTGCGCAGAATGCCCGTCAGCTACCTGGGCAGCAAGTTCCTGGGCAGCGACCTGGAGAGCGAGGATGATGAGGAACTGGTCGAGGCCTTCCTCCGGCGAGAGGAGAAGCAGCCCAGCGCGCCGCCTGCCCGCCGCCGCGTCAACCGGCCAGTGCCGGTGTTTGAGGACAACCTGGGGCCTCGGCTGTCCAAGGCGGACAGGTGGCGGGAGTATGTCAGCCAGGTGTCCTGGGGGAAGCTGAAGCGGAGGGTGAAGGGTTGGGCGCCGAGGGCGGGAACCGGAGTGGGCCAGGCCCGGCTGTCCTCCACCGCAGCAGGGAGCGCAGGGGTATCATCCGCGCCAGACGGCACCAGCCCCAGGGATCGCGCGGGAAACGTGGGAGATGTCTGTGCGCCCCAGACCTCCCCCAGGCGATGGAGGCCCAAGATGAACTGGGCCTCCTTTCGGCGCCGCACGAAGGAGCAGACAGCATCCACAGGTCAGGGGGCAGACTTCCAGGCTAATCACGGGGGAGAGGCTGCAGATAATCAGAGGGAAGGGGCCATAGCTGGTCAGAGGGAAGAGGCTGCAGATAATCAGAGGGAAGGGGCCATAGCTGGCCAGAGGGAAGAGGCTGCAGATAATCAGAGGGAAGGGGCCGTAGCTGACCAGAGGGAAGAGGCCCCAGCTGACCAGGGGCCAGAGGCTGCAGATAATCAGAGGGCAGGGGCCCCAGCTGACCAGGGGCCAGAGGCTGCAGATAACCAGAGAGAAGAGGCTGCTGATAATCAGAGGGAAGAGGCGCCAGCTGACCAGGGGCCACAGGGTGAAGATAATGAGAGGGAAGAGGCCGCAGATAATCAGAGGGCAGAGGCCCCAGCTGACCAGGGGTCAGAGGCTGCAGATAATCAAAGGGAAGAGGCCGTACATGACCAGAGGGAAAGGGCCCCAGCTGTCCAGGGTGCAGATAATCGGAGGGCACAGGCTGTGGCGGACCAAAGGGCAGAGGCTGCACATAATCAGAGGGCAGGTGCCCCAGGCATCCAGGAAGCTGAAGCCTCAGCTGCCCAAGGGGCCACAGGGACAGTTCCAGGAGCCAGTGCCCGGAAACAGGTCAAGACAGTGAGGTTCCAGACCCCTGGACGCTTTTCATGGTTTCGCAAGCGCCGGAGAGCCTTTTGGCACACTCCCCGGTTGCCAGCCCTGCCCAAGAGAGTCCCCAGGGCAGGTGAGGCCAGGAACCTCAGGGTGCTGAGGGCCGAGGCCAGAGCAGAAGCTGAGCAGGGAGAGCAAGAAGACCAGCTGTGAGGTGGGAGCTAGGGACAGCCCACGGGCCCTCCTCCCAGGTGTGGGGGAGAGAGGTGCTCTTTGTGCCTCTGAACTTGGAAATGGAGGTGGGTGCTGTCCACATCTCCACCTAAGCACCCTCTTTATTCTCTTGTTAAAATTTAGTCTCATGCTTTGAGTTTTTATTGTTATTTTTTAGAGACAGGGTCTCACTCTGTTACCCAGGCTGGAGTGCAGTGGCATGATCATAACTCATCGCAGCCTCAAACTTCTGGCCTCAAGTGATCCTCCTGCCTCGGCCTCCCAAAGCACTGGGATTACAGGTGTGAACCACCATGTGCACCACCTGATTTTAAAAAAAAGACTGATTCCTTGTAGCAACCCAAAGAATGTAAAAAAAGAAATCGATACAATAAGGTGGCATCACCCATAGTTTTAACTTCCTCAAATGCAACTCAAGGTGCTCAGCTTGACAAAAGGAGAGAGGGAGGGCAGGGGAGAAACTGCCTCCTTTTTCCGTCTCCCTTTGCCTGCACACTTAATGTTGACTGCCTCCTAAGACTTAAAAAGAAGGCGTTAGCCAATATGCAAATAAAAAACTTTCACGAACTGATTTCTTAGCTTTGGACTTGGCAACTGACGAATGCTCTGGGGGTGACCTGGCCCTTGCTGTCGGTCCCACTCCCATCCTTGATGGTGGAGACACCTGTGTTTATGTTGTCACTTCACTTGTCACCCTCGTGCGCCTGGGCTCTGCTGGTTTGGAGGGGACGGGGCCCTGGGTTTGCACACCGCACCCGATCTTGGTTATAAGGTACAGTAAAAGCGTCCAGAAAGTGCATTCAAAAAACAGATTCTGGGGCCCTGGGCACCAGAGATGTGGATTTGCTAGCGCTGTCCGTGTGGCTCTGAATTCTGTTTGGATCAAGCTTCACAAACATCTGGGCAACTCGGCTACAGGACACATTGAAAAATCATTGCACTAGGAAAAGGCCCAAAAGAGGGGCTGTGGTGTATTATGCATTAATTGCTTCTTCTTTTTTTCGAGACAGAGTCTTGCTCTGTCTCCCAGGCTGGAGTACAGTGGTGTGATCTCATCTCAGCCCACTGCAACCTCTGCCTCCTGGGTTCAAGCAATTCTCCTGCCTCAGCCTCCCGAATAGCTGAGACAACAGGTGCCCGACACCACACCTGGCTAATTTTTTGTATTTTTAGTAGAGACGGGATTTCACTATGTTGGCCAGGCTGGTCTCAAACTTCTGACCTCGTGATCTGCCCACCTTGGCCTCCCAAAGTGCTGAGATTACAAGTGTGAGCCACCGCGCCTGGCCTCTTTCTCTTTCTTTTCCTTCTTTGTCTATTTTCCTTTCCTTTTTCCTTTCCTTCCTCCCTCCCTCCCCCCCCCCTCCCTCCTTCCTTCCTTCCTTCCTTCCTTTTCTGTTTTTTCTTTTTATTTCTTTTAAGACAGGGTCTGGCTGTGTCACCCAGGCTGGAGTGCAGCATTGCAGTCATGGCTCACTTGCACTCCTGGATCGAGTGACCCTCCTGCCTCGGCTTCTCAGAGCACTGGGATTATGGGAGTGAGCCACCGAGCCCGCCCCGTTCTGCTCCTTTCTGAATGGAGTGCTTACTGCTGGCGCTGTTTGCCGCCTGGCGCGCTGTGTGGCCTTGCTAGAGCCCCTTTGTTCATGGTGGTGGATACCTGGCTGTGTAGTCCATGGCTGACAGCCTGGCAAGAATGAGGCACCGGTGGGGTTTGGAGGAAATACAAGCCATTGACCTCATCTGGAGGGGAAGATCTGCAGGTGTGGGAGGAAGAGAGGCTGGGTGGGAAGGTTCTGGTTGGTAGTGGGGGGAGGCGGCTGTCCTTTATTGCTGCCCACCTTGGAGCACAGAGATTTTGTGACCATGGGGACCTGCACTGCCTGGGGAGCTGGAAGGTAAAAAGGAACAGCAGAGACAGGTGCTGGGAGGGGAAGACGGCACGAAAGCAGGAAATGACTTGAAGCCTCAGAGCGAGGTTTTCTCCCCCTTCCTGTAGCGCCCAGAGCCATGGGGGTTCTCAGGAACATCAGAGGCCATGAGGAGGAAAGCGATGTGGACCCCAGACAAGCGGCAAGATGGATTTAACACGGAGCTGTGTGGATTTCATAGACATCAGCTGCCCTTGGCAACAGGGGGCCAGTCCCTCACACTGCCACACATCTGTGCACACACATACACATGCACACTCGGATGCAGACACGCAGGCACCGCACACACCACAGACACATGCACACACACAGGCACCACTGTCAGACCCACATTCACAAACGGAACTATGATTAACCTGCCCATACACATACACAGATACACGGACACACGCATGGAGTGCACACATGTACTCACAGAGGCACACAGACCCACACACTCACAGACTCATTCACACAAACATGGCCATACTTGCAAATGTCAACATGTTCACCCACACAGGACACATCACACACTGCTAGACACTTAGACTCACTCAGCCACGTGGGCACACCCACGTTATCATGCAGAAGCTCAAAAGCCAGTCACAGACACACAGATGCTTGCAGAAACAGAGTTTCACACCACCTCCCTGGGTCTTTTTTTTTTTCTTTTTTTCGAGAGAGCGTGTTGCTCTGTCGCCAGGCTGGAGTGCTCAGTGGCGCAATCATGGCTCACGGCAACCACCTCTCCAGTTCAAGGGATTCTCCTGCCTCATCTTCCAGAGTAGCTGGCACTACAGGTGCGCACCACCATGCCCGGCTAATTATGTGTTTTTAGTAGAGATGGTTTCTCCGTGTTGTTCAGGCTCGTCCTGAACTCCCTACCTCAGGTGATCCACCTGCTTCGGCCTCCCAAAGTGCTGGGATTACAGGCTTGAGCCACGGTGCCCAGTTCTTTTTTTTTTTTTTTTGGACAGAGTCTTAGTCACCCAGGCTGGAGTTCAGTGGCATGATCTCAGCTCACCGCAACCTCTGCCTCCCAGGTTCTAGCAATTCTCATGCCTCAGCCTCCCCAGTCTCATTTGTATACGTGGGCATCCCTGGGTCTTATTTGTATAGCCTTTCCAGGTGCCTCTGACGCTTTGGGCAAGTCTGTCCCCCTAGTGAGTCAAAATTTGTTCCCCCTCGAGTGAACGCAAACTTTTGTGAACTCCTGTTCCCAGCATTCCCACTGTAAGCATTTGGGGAGGCCTAGAGGTGGGGGGAGCCCTCTAGTAACTGAGACAGAACAGGGTGTTCAGTGTTATATTTAATCCCAGAGGGCTTCAAACAGCACCTGCAGGGTGAGCCCCTGGATGCCTCTGGGTGTGGTCTCAAAGGCAGGAAGGTTTCCAAGAGGAAGCCCAGAAAACCAGAGATTGGGCTCTGAATCAGCCTTCATCTGGACCAGCCCAGCTGCTCCTCGTTGTCACCAAAGAGGAAAATAAGAGGCCACAGGTGATTCCAGAACACAGCCATGGAGGAGAGAGATGCCACCCTGAGACATGAGGGTAGAGGGGCCAGGCGTGGTGGCTCACGTCTATAATCCCAGCACTTTGGGGGGCCGAGGTGGGTGGATCACGTGAAGTCAGGAGTTTGAGTCCAGCCTGGTCAACATGGCGAAACCCCATCACTACTAAAACCACAAAAATTAGCTGGGCGTGGTGGCAGGTGCCTGTAATCCCAGCTAGTCGGGAGGCTGAGGCATGATAATTGCTTAAACCTGGGAGGCGGAGGTTGCAGTGAGTCGAGATTACACCACTTCTTTCCGGCCTGGGAGACAGAGACTCCCCTCCCAGTCCCAAAGGTGTGAGAGCAGGAGAAGAGAACTGGGTGAAGAGAAGTTTGGAAGCTGCCTGGCTTCCCCAGCACCACCCCTTGCAAGCTGTGTGACCTTGGGCTGGTCACTTGACTTCTTGGTGCCTCCACGTCCTCATGAGAAAGAGGATCATGGCGGAGCTTTCGTTCCAGCGCTGCTCCGGGAACTGAAGATGTGATATGTTCGTGCTCAAATCAGCCCTAGGAGATGTCATCTTGTCTTACTCCTGCTACGTATCAGCGGCGGCCAGCTCTTCAGTGCAC